TAGGCACTAGAATATATGATAACTTATTGTGGTACAATATAGAGAGGTGGTCTAAATTATACTTTAAGTTTTTCAGTTGTTGTGATAGTGTTGACAGCAACATGGCTGAAAGTTTTAATTCATGGATTTTGGGGCCAAGACACAAAACTATCATCACAATATTTGAAGAAATAAGGATCAAAGTGATGAGAATAATAGGACAATTGAGGGAGTTATGTGATACTTGGATAACAAACATATCTCCAATAGCCCTAAAGGTATTGACAGAGAACACAACAAAGTCAATGAAGTGTAACCTTGAATGGAATGGTGAATGTGGTTTTGAGGTTAAAGACAATTGGGATAACACATTTATTGTGAATCTAGGCAATTTAACATGTACTTGTAGATCTTGGATGCTAAGAGGTATACCTTGTTGTCATGTTATAGCTGCACTTCATTTTAGAAAATTGGAGCCCATTAACTATGTAGCACATTAGTATAGCAATGAGACTTATCTCAAGGTCTATAGTCACTACATTCAACCAGTTACTAACATGAAAATGTGGCCACAGTCGGCCAACCCTTCTGTTATACCACCTGCTATAAAAACACTACCAGGAAGGCCTAGAAAGTGTAGGAAAAAGGAGCAGAATGAAAACAAAACAGGAAAATTGTCCAAGAGAGGTGTTGAGATTAACCTGCATTCTTTGTCATGCAAAGGGTCATAATAAGAAGGGTTGTCATTTGAATAATCAAGCTAATGCAAGCAGAGGAAGAGAAATGGGGAGAGGATGTGAGCCTAGTTCAACAAGGTCAAGTGTTGGTTCTTCTAGAGCACCAACTGAATCACAATCAAGCACAAAGAGAGGAAAAGGTCGACCAAGAGGTTCTACAAAACATGTAATGTTTATAGTAATTCATTTAGTTGTTAATTTACATCTTAATCAGTCTAATATTTTTGTTAATCAACTTATGTTATAGGCTAGTGCTACTGGAAGGGGAAGAGGAACTGCAACTGGTAATGGAACAGGGATTGGTGTTATTGCTGATAGTTCTGGTGCCATTGGAAGGGGAAAAGGAACTGGAACTGGTTTAGCTGGAAGGGGAAGAAGAACTAGTGTAACTGCTACTGCTACTGATGTTCCTGGTGCTACTGGAGGAGGGAAGATGCCAAGAATGGTTGGAATGGGGATATTACATACACAAAGTGATTTTACAATCCACAATGTAAGTTGTCTTAATTATTTACTCACTTTTTAATTTTAACTTGTGAAGCATCTAAGACAACATATTTTTCTGAATCTAGCCTGGAATGCCTATGAACTCTTCAATAGTGACTGGAAATCTTGGGCATCATAAACCAAAATCAGACTTAAAATGGAAAGGAAAGGTTGCTGTAACTCAACAAGGTCTTCAAGAGATGAGAGAAAACAAAAGAATGAGAACAAGGTCCAATAATGCTGAAGTTTGATATGGAGACTGCTTTAGTTTGATATTTTAGCTGTTTTTGGAACAATTATATTGCATTTGTGACTGCATTAGTTTGATCTGTTTGTTTTTGAAACAATTATATTACATCTGTGACTGCATTAGTTTGATCTATGTTTGTTTTTGAAACAATTATGCAGTTGTGACTGCATTAGTTTGATATTTTAGTTGTCTCTTTTTGAAACAATTATGCAACCAGTTTTGCATTACTTTTTTGTGTATAATTATGCAATTGTGACTGCAATTTAGCGAATGCAGTTGTAAATAAAACACAAACAAATACACAAACCACCAAATTACATTAAGAGAATAAGAAGAACTCATTACAAAAGAGTCTTGCACCTAATTGGTTACAACACAAACAGTGCTACACTACACCAACATTGATCTCACTACATCAACAACTTAAGGTAACTTCATTGAACCTTTCTTCATATTTATCACCTAGAACCAATAGCTTATAGCTATAACCATAACACAACAACAAGCTACAACAAAAAAGAGCACATTCTGCTATGTTCTTCTCCATTTATTCTGCATTTCATCTTCTCAACCTCTTCTTGCAACATTTTCAATTTCATACCTAGACAATCATCATCTTGTTTGAAATCTCCCGGCTTGTCAACTTCTTCAGTAACCTCAACCAATTCAAATGCAGTGGCTGAGGTTTGAGAGGATTCTACTATATTCTCAAGCTCACTCAATTTCTGTATTAGTTTAGGAATCACAAATTTTGACCTCGGATCAATATTTTCTTTATCCTTCCAACACCAAAAGTTGCAAGATCTAGGACCCTTCAATAATGAAAAAGGATGAAGGAATTAGTGGTTAATCAAATTCTTAATCGGCTAAAAAAATTTAAACAAAAATGATCTTTACCCCATAATAAGGACATGACCAATATCTTCTTCCGGGGTTATTTGAAGTCCAAGATGTTTTCAAACGCACCACAAGTCCATGATTACAACAAACTTTTTTCTTCATAGTATAATCATCTTCTTCCATACAAAGATTTGTCAAATTAATTGATCTCATTGTGTGCTACAATTTTGTGCAAGAATTAACGAGAATCTGGAAAAAAGAGAAAATAAGAAAAAGGGAGGAAAGAAAAATCAAAATAATAGATGAAGAAGAATAGGTTTGAATCTTACATTTTGAAGAACAATTCCTTCAAAGATTCAACTTTTAGGTTTGAATCTTACATTTTGAAGAACAATTCCTTTAAACATTCAACTTTTAGGTTTGAAGAGCTAAGATTTGAGAAAAATAATGAATTAGGTCACCATTTTTTGAATGATTGGTTTGGTGAGGGAGAAGAGGTATTTAGGGTTCTTCAAAAGTGAAGATTGTTCTTCAAATGGGTAATGGGTCGGATATTACCGTTGAAGGGGTAAATTTAATTTTAAAAAAATGTTAAAAGATGACTAACGCGCCGTTCTAAGCTGTAACAACACGCGCACAAGGTTGGTGTTCGGAGGGTTGAAAATAATTCACATAAAAGATGTTAAGGGGGGTATGTAAATACCCGTGCAGTTTAAGTACTAAAGTAAGTTTTTGTGCCAAGTTCAGGGTTTTTTTTTTTGTATTTTCCCTAAATAGAAAAAGGAGAATCTTTTTAAGAGTTCTTACTTAGGTTTAAATAACAATGCAAAAGTTACAACATTTTAAAGCAAGATTATCTTGCAATTTTTTAAAGGACTTTAATACCTCCAAACTTTAATTTAATGTCAGAAAACTGACATGTTGAAACTGTCCTTTCTAATATATAGAAATTTGGAAAAATAGCTGATATATCGCTTAACTTTGTCATTTAGAACTGATATACCCCTCGTTATGAAAGTGACTCATATATACTTTTACTGTTATATAAATGCCTTACATATACCCTTTTCCTCGAACGGAAGTGAAAAAATTAATATTAATTTAATTTTTTAATTATTTTTTTGAAAAAAATATAATCCATATAGGATATATATGAGCCACTTTCATAATGGAGGGGTTAGGGGTATATCAACTCTAAATTGCAAAGTTGAAGAGTATTACTCCCTCAATTCACTTTTACTTTCGGCATATTTTTAAAAATAAATTTTTATTTATTATTTATTATTTTAAATATATTAAATAAAGACTATTATTAATACACTATATATCAGTTAGTATAAATATTATAATAAAATATTCATATTAATAACTATTTCTTAAAAAATGTATAAAATTCAAAATAAACAAATAACAACGAACGGATGAAATACTTTTTAAATATGTAAGATATGGATCGGGTATAGAATATGGATCTTTTTAAATTTTGTTTAAATTTATGTGATTTATGTCTGCGTGGTATAAATTATTAATATTTTTTGTTATGTCATGTTTTTTTAATAATTAATTTATATAGTTGTGATTGTACGAGAGAAATTTTTCAAGTGATTTTACTTATATATAATAAAGTTGAATGACTTTGTTATATAATTTCTCATAGACTTTTTGAGACAGTTATACTTAAAAGAACAATTTTTTTTTTACAATTTATAGAATTTTATCTTAGGTAGTTCATAATTTCTCTTGCGTTTTCTTTGTGCATCTATTATTTTTTGAGAGATATAAATTGATCGAATAATATTTTTTCTGACACTATATTTCCTTTTCTAAATTTTGTCCTAAAATTTTATTTATAAAAATGACCTCTTTTTTTATTTTACTAAATATTATTTATAATTTTTTTAATTAAATACAATTTTCACTATCAATTTTAGAAATTTCAAATAAAATAATAACAATGATAATACTAATACTAATACTAATAATAATAATAATAATAACAATAATAGTTCCTATGTGAATTTAATTTATGACATTAGGTAACTTATCGCAGCAGGTACTTTCATCCAAATTTGTTTCTCATAATAAGAAGTAATTTTTCTTCAACATGTGAATATTGAAGTACCACGTGGAAAGTGGCTAGCCTGCCTTATTTATCGAGTAACTTATATATTTATGAGCTAATTATATAGATATATTTTTATTTGTAATACTATGAATTTTATGAGATTTTGATATCGTCTAAATATGTTCAGATACATGTATCTCAAGATATATAGAATCAAAATTAAGTGTAATTTATATTTAGATACATTGTATGCATGTATCAAGATACATAGATAAATATAATTTGCCTCCCTCGCCTCACTCGTCACTTTCCTTTCTCGCTCGCGTATTTGATCTATTAAATACATGTGAATCACACCATTTACATATTATCTAATGTGTATCTATTATGGTTTACATGTAACTAAGATGAATAAGCAAATCTCACTTGTCTTCCTTCCACTTGCCTCTGTCCCTATTTCAGACATGTGATAGCAAAAAATATGTATTTAAATATATTTGATTTAAAATTTAAAATAAAATTATTAATTAAAGAAATAAAATATAATTATTTTAAACTATATAAATGTTTGTGTAATTAGCTAACGTCCTTACTTACTTATCTAGACGGGCCCTTTTCTGACAAACCAAAGTGATATTTGACCCATATACTTTTCATTCACCATCACTACATTTCCAGAAATGCTCTGTTTGTCCCGTTATACGCCATTTTCCAGTTGATTTTTCCGCAAGCTCTCAATTTCATACTCTAAATCTCATTTTTACCGAATTGAGTGGATGGTTGCTGTTACTTCTCAGTATCCATTTGGTATCTGCCCTCAATTCCATGGAAATTCAAGGTTACTTTCCCCAGAAACGGACTTCTCTGCTCTCAATTTTCCTTACAGACTGGGATATTCAAGATTGACTCTTCACCCCAAGGTACTTCTTTTTTTCTTCTTATCATTTTGGCATTTGATGTTGAACTATTCTTCTCATGTGCTTTTTAATTAATTTGAAGTTAGATAAATTAATTGTGTAGTAAAAATGGGATTTTCCTTCGATTCTGTTGCCTAGAGGTTCAGCTTAATCAGAGTGTTGTTTGTGTAGAACACGATTAAGTTAAAAAAGTTCTTTTCTAAAAAGTATGAAGATGGTACACTGCGTATTTCTTGAAAAGTGAAAGAAAAGAAGCATTAACAGACTAAAGTTTGAGTGAGATTACTGGTGCTATGTTACCTTTATGGTTTCATAAATTAGGGAATGTGATGCAATGCTAGTTGAGTGAGCATGTAAGTTACACATTATCCATGAGGTACCGGTAAGAAGTTGGGTGGTTGAAATAATTTTTTAAACTATAGTGTGCAAGTCAACTCGAAGGCACGTCGACTATTCCGATGGTACTATTACCGAGTAACTCTGTCCATTCAAGCTTAATCAGAATGCAAAGAGGGTTGGAATAATAATAATAATAATAATAATAATAATAATAAATATCTCGAAAATATAATTTTTTTTTTTTTTTTTTGATTTGCACCGGGTGTCCGAGTCTCTTTGAGCCCCGACTAATCCCGGGGGTGCACAGGCCCTCGGCAAGGAGTTTCCCGCAAGTGCACCACGGTTAATTCAGGTTTTACCCAGTCCGATGGCCCTCAGAAATTGTTTGCACCTAGTGGGTTTCGAACTTGAGACCTTGAAAGGGAGCAAACCCCAAGGCTCAAGTCAATTGCCAGCAGGGTTCGAAAATATAATTTTTTAATGACAGGGAAAACCAGAATGCAAAGAAGGTTGGAATAATAATAATAATAAATATCTCGAAAATATAATTTTTTTAATGACAAGGAAAACCCGCAGCCGCTACCCTTTGAGTGCGCATGGGGTAAAACCCTTGTTCCTATGCAATAGGTCGCAAACCACACAGAAAAGGTAACCTGCACTAGGCAAACCCGGTGCGACGAGCTCGACCCACAAGGCAAACCCCTTGCTTTCGCTGACAAGGGTTTTCGAACTTGAAACCTCCAACATGAAAGTCTCAGACCCATACCATTGGGCCACCCCAAAGGGTTATAATGTTCGTTTTTTAGAACTTGTAACGTCTATTTTGTGACCACATTGATTACATTTATTAGCCTTCAATTCCTTCATCAATTTGTTCAATTGAATTTGGTCTTTGAATAGCTAGACTTCAATAGAATTGAATGGCCTTTAACAATGCCATAATTGCTCAACGTATGGATGCACCATGGCGTGCTCATTTCTTCACTATAAATATCCATTATCATCCATAGGATTAAAATGGTGGCAGAGGTCCATTTCCTCGTCAATAATTTAATTCTTCTACTTCATTTTGAGCTCATGGAACAAGAAGAATAATTCTTTCTCTTGGTTCTTCTTCCTATATTTTGTAGTGGTGGATTTTGATTTATTTAATCTTTGTTAGATTCTCACTCCTAGTTTTATACTAGAAGAGTTTGTTGAATCCTAGGGATACACCTATACCAGATGAAATATGGTCAATGACATTGTCTTTGACACACGTCAAGCTTTGAAAAAAAATTCTACAATGTTCGCGGTTAAGTATTTTCTTAAAGATTTCCTCTAACATTTATTTGCCTGTGCTAGGATTTTAATCTTGGCCTCCTATGGTTTTCAATTAATCGCTCGACCACACTCTCAGGTGATGGTCGGGTTGAATCATTATAGGAGAGACCTAAGTTGCTTAGACTCTTCACTTTCGGTGCTGCACCTGTGTCCACAAGACGCGGGTGTAGGATCCATTCCCTATCCGGTCAACCGATTAAGTGTACTTTGATCAAATTCGAGGGATAAATTCTGGAAAAATTCAATGATTTCTGTAATAAAAACAAAACCTAATGTGAAATTGAAGAAAATGGAATAAACCTTCTATATACAAATTTCTATTGTCACTCCCTTTCCTATTATCGCTTTTCAGGATTCTCCTCTTGATCAATATTTTCTCTACATAATATCTCATAATTTAGATTTTAGAACTCTATTTAGATATTTGGATTATCTTTATAGCCGAATCCCCGCACCCGTATCCATACATGGATCCGTACCGTATCCCTGAATCTTTAAATTTAGATCATAGAGCATCCGACCTCTAGATCCGCACCCGAGTCCGAGCAACTTATGGAGAGGCATTATATCTTTGATGGGAAGATCACAGTTTGGTCTTAGAGCGGGATGCATCTACAGGTCCTTGTTCTTATAGTCGACTCCTAGTTGTTAGCCCTAGCCTCAAGCTAAATGTATCTCATTGCATGATTCGTGTGGGTTATCTCTAGTTTGGGTAGTATATTTGTGTAGTTGTCTGTGTGAAGACTTCTCAAGTAAGCATAATGAGGCTACTATAGTCAATGCAGCTTGTTGTTTGGAGCTGGTACACTGCCCTTCAATAAAAATGAATACTTTGTTAAAGTGAAGTGATAGATCAAAGTGGTTGGTGAATGGTGATTGTAGTCAGGAATCAGAGAATAGGACCGTGTTCGGTGGCATGCTTTTACTATATCAGAATTGAGAAAATTGTCAAAAGAATAAAAGAAAAAAGTTAGTACTATAGTGTGTAATCTCACACTTATTCCCACCGAAGAATCTAATCAAATACACAGTTTGCGGGATCATTGAATTTATTTCACTAGTCTAATAGTGCAATCACATGTATATGAATATGAAATACACTGAAGTATCACTCACCGGAGCTTTACTGGAATTGGAAAAGGTAGAAGGAGAAAATATTTTGTCGTTCTTGTTTTGTTTTGTAAAGCAAGAGTTCTGGCTTATTTAACAGAGACAAGACACCGGTTCATGAGGAGTCCTAACCATTGTGTCTTTTCATTATTTAATAATAATTAAATATATAACACATATATATTTATTTATTATTTATATGGATCCGGGTTGACCCACAGGGTGATGCGAATCTAATTCCTTCACCCACTATTCAAGATAATCCATGGAGAGGTATGTCTACCTTTCATGTATTGGATTTTCTAGGACTCAATGAAAATCTGTCAGTGTCTGTAATGCTAATGTGTGCAACACAATAATTACAATCATCTGCCTATGCCAATGGCCTACACAATTTTAATATTCAATGTCATTGCTTGTCTGTATGCCAAAAGCTTTTGAATTAACTGTTGTTTGGTCTTCAACTCTTCTTATTACAGGGTCATGTTGCTGAAATACATTCTTTGCCACATGCCGGTGATTTCACTGGTGAAAATGAGCCAACACCAATTCTTGATGCAATTGAAAGTCCCATGAACCTAAAGAATTTATCAACTAAGGTCAAATAATTAGCACTTCTCCTCATTTGACCCTTGATAATCACGGGACCATATTGGCTGACTGTGACCAACTTGGTGCAGGAACTGAAACAACTAGCTAATGAAATTCGATCAGAATTATCTTTTATCATCGCAAAATCTCAAAAACCTTCAAGTTCCAGTCTGACTGTTGTGGAGCTGACTGTTGCTATTCACCATGTATTTCATGCCCCTGTGGACAAAATATTGTGGGATGTGGCTGAACAAGTAAGATCCACTTGGTAATATACCAGAAAATGGTAGATTTCCAAGTAAATGAGTTATACTAAATAACATGTGAAGCTAGCTTTAGTTATGCAGCTCCCAATTCAGGTTTTGATTTGAGAATTTTTTGTCATCGTAAAAATTTCTATTTTGACGTTTTGGACAGACATATGCACATAAACTTCTCACTGGAAGGAGGCAGATTATGCAAGCACTTGAAAACTCAAAAGGCCGGCCTGTGGCAGCGCCAGATTTTGAGAGCGGATATGACCCCTTCGGAGTAGGGCATGGATGCAACAGTGTATCTGCTGGACTTGGTAAAAATCATGCTTCTGCTTTTCCCTTTCTCAGCTGAGGATATCCTACTTCTGCTTCTTCAATTATTTTTCAAAATTCACCACGGAAGGTTACTATAGGAAGTGCTTTCTTGTTTTATAATTTAATTCTTGTTACAAATTATTTCATAAAAAGTTGCCTGCTAAATCCATCAAAAAATTTGAATGTTTTTCCAGCCTAGATTTATATAATATTCTCATCAATCATGTAATATAGATACTTAGACTGTAGTGTCACCTTCAATAGGAATGGCCATTGCCCGAGATTTTAAGGGGAAGCGTGATCGTGTAGTGGCAGTGATCAACAATGAAACAATTATGGCCGGCCAAGTTTATGAGGCAATGCGCAATTCAGGCTATTTGGACTCAAATATGATTGTGATATTAAATGATAGTCGGCATTCTTTACACCCAAAGGTTGAGGAGGCCTCTAAAATACCTATTAATGCTTTCTCAAGTACTCTCAGCAAACTTCAGTCAAGTAAACTTTTCCGGAGGTTTAGAGAACTTGCTAAGGTATGTCCCTGCTATATTTACAAAAGTACTAACAAAATACTCCTATCCACGTTAATGTAAAGAGTTGGTTCAAATGCAAAATCCTAATTTGATATACATGTTGCACAAGTAATATGCCTTTTTCAAGCACCAAAAAGAAGAATTCTGGAATTAAACAAAACAGAAATGTTATGTTCTTCTTTTCTTTTTCGAAATTAATTATCAAAAAGAGAGCAAGATAAACCTATTGTGGCTTGCAGTTAAGGTTTTTAAAATAGTTTGTACATCACTTATTATACTCACAAAATCTACAACAAAAGTTTTTCGATTTCCACTACTTTTACTAATTGAGGTCAAGCGTGCATCTTTGTTCTATTTTTCAATAGGGTAAAGTAGATTTCATTATCCCACCACAATTTGTGGGATAAGACAACTAAATGCATTAGGAAGTAGCTAAAGAGGTGTTGGGGGTCTCGAGAGGTAACACAGGTGATCGCTGAGGGGATTGGTGGTGGAATAGAGCAGTCCAAAAGAAAGTGGATGCCATGAAGGTTGCTTATATGAAGAATAGAGAGAAAAGACGAGGATGAAAAGAGGGCTAATAGGAAGAAGTATAATGCGATGAAGATGGTAGTGAAGTTAGCGGTTACAACGGCTAAAACAATAGCGTTTGAACAAGAACCAATTTGGAGGTGGAGTACAATGATCCCAGTGATATTCAGAATTGCAACAACTACTGGGGTATCAAGCTACTAAGCCAACTATGTAAGATTGGGAAGAGGGTGGAAATGTGTCACCAAGACTTAAAGGTAAGTTTTATCAAGTGGTTGTCAGACTGGCTATGTTATATGGGCGGTGTGTTGGCCGGTCAAGAACTCGCACTCTAGAAAATGCAAGTAGCAGAGATAAGATGTTGAGATGGATGTGTGGGTGTACTAGGAGAGATAAGATTAGGAATATAGATATTCAGGACAATGTGGGAGTGGCCTCAGTGGTGGACAAGATAAGGAAGGCCTAGATTGATATAGTTCGGGCATGTGAAGAGGAGATGCACAGATGCCCCAGTGAGGAGGTGCGAGGGGTTGACGATGATGGGTCTTAGGAGAGGTAGGGGTAGGCCGAAGAAGTACTAGGAGTGGTTAGACAACGCATGACACTCCTGCCGCTTACCGAGGGCATGACCCTAGATAGGAGGATATAAAGGTCGCAGATTAGGATAGAGGGTTGGTAAATAGTTGAGTGTGGTCTAGCTTCCCAGTGTTATTATTAGTACTCTCCTACTATCTTGTTTTTCGATTTTATTATTACCTGTTTTTTTTTTTTGCTTCAGTTATCATACTATTTGTTGCTTCTATTGTTCCTTTCTCCATTATTTTCTGTATGGTCCCTTCACTGTTGTATTTTCTTTTCTTACTTATCTACTTGAGCCGAGGGTATATAATCTCTCTACCTTCACAAGGCAAGGGCAAGGTTGTGCACACACCACCCTCTCCTGATCCCACTTGTGGGATTACCCCGGGTATGTTGTTGTAACTTTCATTGATACTAAAGTACCAAGAAGGTACTAAAAGCATACAAATTACAGCACAGCTGCAACTGTTACATTCTCAAAACTTCTATAAAATCCATGTACTGATCTAGATTTTCTGCCATACTTCCCTTCACCAAAAGTATTCTTTTTTTAGACATCTATTCTTAACACCAGCTAAACATGTCCTTTCCAACCAAATGATCCAAACGATGCAAAGAGGTATCGTTTTCCAGATTTTCCTCCTAGTTTTCCTGACTTTCTCATTTTGCCAACAAATCAATAGGTCTTTCACCTTTTTTGACATCACCCATTGCACACCACTCAGAGTTAATTAGGAACAGATCCCATAGCTGCTTTGTATGATTCCAATGAAATAAAATATGCTCTGCAGATTCCTGAGAATTTTCACAGAAAAAGCATCGACTGCACAAAGGAATTTCTCTTCTCTGCAACATATCTTGAGTTAAACATGCATTTTATTATGATCCAACTAATTAAACTCAGAAATTAAACTAAGCAAATTGAACTCAACAATTTTTTGGGGAATTTTCTCGGGTTTATATTAAGCAAAATGAACTCTATTACATAATAGAAACTACTAATACGAAATGAAAATAACTGGAAGACGGAATCTACATTGATGAGATAAACTTGTATGTGATTAAAGAAAAAAGAGGAGAATTTTGGGATAGAAAAAGAAGAGGAAGAATAGTTTAGAGAGAATTGAGGAAGGTGAGGAAAATATCCAACTGATCATGCCGCTCTTGCTCTTTCCGGGAATTAGTTATAGGATGCTCACGTGCAATCACAGCCCTTCAGCTTCATTAACTCAAATTAAATCTCGTGCGTCCAGGTGTTATAATTCTATTCGTCGTTTCTTTATTCTTCACTCAGCTCATTTATTCAGGTCATGAAACATTTCTAGCTACAATCCAGCCAAAACAAGCTGCTTTAGGAGGTGCTCGTGATTTCCACGATGTTTTCCATGGCCAAGTCAAATCCTAGTGGTCTAGCTCTGTGCTATTAAATCTGAGAGTTGATGGTAGTTATATTGATCTACTGATTCTCTGACACAACATTTTCTCGGGTTTTTTTTCTTTTGATGACCGGGAAATCTATCTGGAGCCAATCCTTTGGGTCAACGGCAATATATTCTTGGGAATATTCTCTTCAGTTTTCCCTTTTTTTGCTTTGTAACTTAAAGATGGTAAATGATCTCACATACTTTATCAGAACAACTTAAAAATGGTAATTCGCTTGCAGTTTCTTTTTGAACGTAAATTGTCTCCATACTCACATTGTGAAAGACCTTTCATGAAGTGTCTGGTAGTTTTTCAGGCACTTGTGCTAGCTATTTTTGTGCGGTATATTAATGAGATGATTTGAAACATAATTATGTTACTTCAGTGAGAAAATTTTCTTGGTGTTTAACAGGTTGTAGTTATAGTTATGTTTATTGCTACCTTACATGAATTTTTCTTTTGTTTTGACGTACCAATGTTGAATTGTACAATAGTATTTCGTGCGGAATTTTCGGAAGTGCACTAAACTTAGTAGGCGTTTGAACATGCAATTTCAAAATCGCAATATGAAATCATGAGATGAAATTAGCGATTGGACACGCAATTTCACGTTGATTTCATATCATGAGATGAAATTCCATATTCTCTAAAAAAGAAAACATGATATGAGAATTCAAAATCATGATTTGAGATTTTTCAAATACAAAAACTGACTCACAAGTTTATATTTTGTAAAAAAACCCACATTTATATCTACTAACCATTTATTTCATATGTAAATAAAATTTATAATTCATATCGTTATTTTTTAAACCATCTATATCTCATGTAACGATTATTCTCACCAACATATATAAAATTCATTATTACTTCAAATCAATTCTTACTTTTCCATTTATATTCACCAAATTCATTATTTTTCATCAAATTTATTTACCAACAAATGGCTCAAAGTAACAATGTTGGTTTGTCTTCTCGATCATATGATCGAGATATGTAAGTTCAATGTGAGGAGATTGTTCGTATTATGTGGGATGATTATATTAAAGACTAGTACACTACAACTTATGTTCAATTTTTTTATTGAATTAAAGTTTAATGAATAAATATTGTATTTTTTTAGAATAATTTTGTGATAGTATATTATGCGATTTTATAAACTTCTGTTTATTTGGTAATATTGTATAAAGAAGTCGGATAATTTTAATAGCTGTACAACTTATGGGGTTTTTATGTTATGAGAAAACATGCAACATAAAAAGTCCAAATTGCATGTCCAATCAAAACTTCAACTTCATCTCATGATTTCATATTGCATGGCCAAACGCCCCCTTAGTAAAACACTAGATGTACATGTATGGTTGCTTACACATATACTAGATAAGTATGTGTAGATGAGTCTACTATTTTTTTTAGAAGGAACGTGTAGGCGAGCTTCTTGGACATGATTATCATCATTGTTGCAAATAGTGATAGACTTTTGTTATCTCCGATAAAGTTATAGTGGTAAAATTCTTGTCTTATCATGTATTTCTACTATAGTCATATTCCAAATATCTGCTGCTTTTTATAGGTATTAACTAAGAAAATCGGGAAAGGCATGTATGAATGGGCAGCCAAGGTTGATGAGTATGCACGTGGTATGATTGGCCCGCCAGGATCAACCCTCTTTGAAGAGCTTGGCCTTTACTACATTGGCCCTGTTGATGGACACAATATTGAAGATCTAGTATGTGTTCTGAATGAAGTGGCATCTTTGGATTCAATGGGTCCTGTTTTAGTTCATGTTATAACCAAGGAAGAACTGGAAGTAGGAGACAATCAAATGAATGCAGTTGCAAATAAAATTATGGAAGGTTTGATCCTGATCTCCTATCCTTTTCCTTCCTTTCACACTAAGGGTCGTTTGGAAGGGTATATGAGAATAGTGTTGAATAGTAAATAGTAATGCTAGCATTAGCAATATTGGTATTGGTTATGCTGAGATTATTTCTTATGCACTGTTTGGATTGGTGTGTTAAAAATAACATACATTGCATTATTTCTAAAAAAATATTTGTTTACAAAAATATCTGCCACAAATACGGTGGGAAGGATGTGGAAAAGGTTTTGAGGGGAAATTGCAACCTAAACCATGGTGTGTATAAATAATGCTTGCATTAGTTATACATAGGTTGTAAAAGTGTACTATACAAGGTATTAGGAATATACAAAACTAATGCATGCTTTGTTTTTTTCTAATGCATCCTACCAAACGATAGAGTATATTAAACATGTTGGGGAACTCCTCTAATGCAAATGTAGTGGGAGCAAAATTGATATAACATTTAGATGCTATGTGTTTTTTCTGGATAAGTTTTGATCAAAAGGTTCTAAACTTTTATACTAAGAGCCTGTTTGGCGTTGATGGTGGGAGACCAAAAACACTAATTTTGAGAAAAAAAATACTCTTCTTGAAAAATTAAGGTGTTTGGCAAATTAGTAAAACTGCCTTTAAATAGAAGCAAAAACAATTTTTCTGTTGTTGGAAAGAAGCTAAAAAATTCTTGCTTTTCAAAAAAAGGGAGAAGCGGAAACAGAAAATTATTTTTTCCAAGATCAAAATATCTCTTTCATATATACATATTTGTCAATATATCTCTTATTAATTTATTAGCATATCTCATAGATTTGGTTAAGTTTCATTTAAGAATTTTATTTTTTATTTTTATATAATAATTTTTTATTATTTTACGTTTATTAATTATCATTTTATATTTTTATTATTTTTAATTATATATAAATCATCATGTTAATATTTTATCAATACTTTATTTGTTTATTTTATTTTATCTATGTATAATATTGGTTGAAAATTTGAATAAAATAAAAAGTTTGATTAAAATTATTATAACAGATATTTAAAAATAGTCCCTCTCTATAAAATAATCTTACTATTAAAGGTACATTAATATTTACACTTTTTCGTAATTTGACTCTTAAAAGCATTTTTTTTACAAAGATTAGTCAAACACAATCTATTTATCAAAAACACTTTTCAAATGAATTAGCCAGACACAAATTGCTTTTTTTTTAAAAACACTTTTCTGAAAAACTATTTTAAAAAAGTGTTTCTAAATATAAACAGTTTTTAACCCTTCGGGGTGGCCCAGTGGTTTGGGCTTGGGACTTCCATGTTGGAGGTCTCAAGTTCGAAACCCCTTGCCAGCGAAAGCAAGGGGTTTGCCTTCTGGGTCGAGCTCGTCGCACCGGGCTTGCCTAGTGCGGGTTACCTCTCCTATGTGGTTTGCGAGCTATTGCATAGGAGCGGGGGTTTTACCCTGTGCGCACCCAAAGGGTAGCGGCTGTGGGTTTCCCTTGTCATAAAAAAAAAAATATAAACAGTTTTTAGCAGGAATACCAAACAGACTAAATTTTACTCCAAGGGTACCCATAACAAGCTCAATCATATTTTATGGCTTTATATGCATATGTATATCTCATTCTTCAATTGTCTTGTATTGCACATTTGCACTGTTTTAATACTAAATAATTTAGAAGACGTGGATGAACTTAAATGGACTGCATGATTTGTGAGGATTCATATAGCCGACCCCAACTTGCTTGGGATTGAGGCATTCTTGTATAATTTAAAAAAGCATCTTTCTTCTGGATTTTAAAAACTAATTTTAATCAATTGATTTCCAAATAAGGGTTGAATAAAATCCTGATTATCATCACCATTCAGATCAATTTTAGAGTAGATTTCTAGTGAATGTCAGGTAAGATGTAATCTTGATAAACTGACCTTTCTTTCTATCAAAAGTAATTTGAATTTCTACCTTTCCATATATTTGGAAGCATTGTGAGCATCGTGAGGTGATGCCATAGGACTTCATGAATACTAGCTGCCCTACCTTGACCATTCAATAAGTTTTTCCTGAGTGAAGTTCATGAAAAAAATCAAAAACTGGGTATAAATGATTTGTTGTAAGCTGTTCTGGCTCAGAAGCATGTCCGAGTGGAAGCTGATAGTTTTCAGATGGAACTCGAGAAGTGTTAAAATTGTAGTAGCAAAGTTATCCTGAATGGCAAAGCTATGTATTATTACTACAAATTCTACTAATAGTCAACCTTTTTATTGTCAAAGCAGGTGTATCTAGCTCAGGCACTATACCTTGTGGCAATCGAACATATAGTGATTGCTTTGTAGAGGCCTTGATATCAGAGGCAGAGAGACACAAAGATATTGTAGCTGTTCATGCAGGCATGGGAATGGAGCCATCACTTCACCTTCTGAAGGATGTCTTTGCAGAGAAGTTCTTTGATGTTGGGATGGCCGAACAACATGCGGTAACATTTGCAGCTGGGTTGGCATGTGGAGGGCTGAAGCCATTCTGCATAATTCCTTCAGCTTTCCTCCAAAGAGCCTATGACCAGGTCTTTCTCTCTCTCTCTCTCGCACACACTCACACAGAGATGGACACCGAGGATAAGAAAATAGACAAGGCAGCTAGTGCAAATGTCTAATAAATGGCCTGGTTCTGTCCCCACCTCCCACGAAATAAGAGGAAGGGTCTCATGCATCAACAACCAACTGTCACTTTATTTGGATGTGTAACTTTTTAGCTGTAGCAAGTAAAGGATCAATGGATACAAAAAACACACTAAATACTTGGTTCAGAATTTGTTCAGTGGATTGAAAATCATTGAATTGTAGGTCTAGTCATTGAGTCAGAGACTTCACAATTCTCATTTTCTTTATCTTAATTGACACTTCCTAATATAGGAAGAGGACATGGAGAATTGAATAGGTGCTACTAACACACTAGTCCATAGGAAAAAAAAGAATTGACTTGGACATTTTTCTAGAAGTTTCACATTTATCATATTGAAGGGGGTGGTTTATGCCCTCTTCTGGGAAGGGTTACCATTTATTTACTGTAAGCAGTACGTACCTAGGTTTCCAAATGATGGTTGCAGTTTACCTTATAATTCTCTTTCAATATTCATGATATCTTTCTGGTCTCTCGTTTATCTGACTTAGAAATTCAATTGAGATCAAGAAATGAGCAACTAAAGCAAGATCTTTGGTTGTCTGCAAATGTTTTATGAAAGTTTTCCAAAATCTCAAGCAAATGCAACCTAAAAGTCCTGAATATCTAAAAATATCATTAGACTACTTTTCCTTATCCATGTCAGATTGATTTTGTTCTTTTTGTCCCGCAGCTTTAACTTCCATGCATCATGTTCCTTAGTATTTGAAACATGTCCAGAAAAGTAACTTCATTGTTGTTATATTTCTGAGCAGTAGGTCACTCTTTATTTAATCAGCCTCACGCAGTGAGTCTGAAATCCTGTACTTGCTTGGAATTTGTTGTTTTTGTCCAAATAATCATTTTAAAGAAGAAGACGGGTCTTATCAAGAGGAAAAAGAAAAGCAATAGGGAGGAAACGAAGATGTCCAACTTATTTCAAACTTGTGAAGTAAATTGGACTTCTGTTTAGAAAATGAAGTAAAGAAGTGGTTCAATAACTTTGAGAATGTCAATTGGGCATAAAGTATATAGGACCAACTTGTTAAAGTTATTGAGATCAGCATTAAATGGTTGAACGTGTTGCTGAAAGTTTTGGTCTATAACTTGTGTCATTATCATTTTATGTGTATCTTTACTTTATCAAATGAATAAATTAAGATTTCAGTGACCGCGATGCGATGGATAGTCACTGCTATATGGTAAAATTGATCCTGTTCTGTACGAGTCTACAGGTTGATAGCTTCCAACTTCAGTTTCGTCCAGGCACATTAATAGACGACTTTTATTTGGGGTTTCTAAGATATCTTGTACCAAAGAAATGTTGTCAATTTGAACGTCAGTGTGTTAAAGATAAAGTACAATTTTCTAAAGTTCCCATCATGTTTTATTGGCTGCTTAGGTCGTCCATGATGTAGATCGTCAGAAGGTTCCCGTGCGTTTCATCATTACAAGTGCTGGATTAGTAGGATCTGATGGTCCTATACATTGTGGGGCATTTGATATAGCATTTATGTCCTGTTTGCCAAACATGATAGTGATGGCTCCTTCTGATGAAGTTGAGCTTTCTCATATGGTGGCAACTGCTGCCCTTATTGATGACAGGCCGGTTTGCTTCCGCTACCCTCGAGGTGCCCTTTCAGTGATGGAACACTCATTTAGTGGAATTCCCATTGAGGTAATACTTTGGCAAATAGATCTAGAAAGGTTCTGATGCATTCATGATAATGGTAACTCAATATTTTAGTACAGGTTTGATTTGAATTATCACCTAATATTTTCAGTTTCTTTTACTAAATCAATTTTGTAATTTACAATTGGCATTCCGTGTTTATTTTATAGAAAACTATGTATTATTACCCAGATATTGCTTTAAGGGATGTGATATATTTGAATGTTTATCCAACAACAACTTGTTTCGTAATGTGATTGGTCTACATAGCACAATCAAATAAGCCCCTTCATATTTGAATTTGCATTTATACACTTTTTTGTTTTGTTGTTGTGGAGAAGGTTGGCAGAGGGAGAATACTTACAGAGGGTAAAGATGTTGCTTTACTTGGCTATGGATCCATGGTACAAAATTGTCTGAGAGCTCAATCACTTCTTTCAAAGCTTGGTGTTGAAGTGACTGTCGCTGATGCAAGATTCTGCAAGCCCCTTGACATACAACTTCTTAGGCAATTATGCAAGAACCATTCCTTTCTAGTTACAGTCGAGGAAGGCTCTATAGGAGGATTTGCATCACATGTAGCACAGTTCCTCTCACTCGATGGACAGCTCGATGCAGGAATTAAGGTAAATTTCAAATCGCTCCTGAATCATTTTGCTCAATGATAGCTGTAGGAGTTCTTTTCAATACGACCACAAGTCACATTTCCACATTAGAAGTTTGAGCTGCTTTCCTTTAATTCTTCTGACTCGTGATTTAGAAACTTTTAATAGAATGCTAAGCTTATATGCCTCCTTCCCCTCTCCCTCTTTCCAAGCACAGCTTCTTTCCACGTTACTGAATCTGAATGGACATCTTCGACTTGGAATATGTTTTTGAACTTCATGGTTTCTTCTAATATCATTTTAAATACTATATGGTCTGAGATTAAAGGTTAAACTTCTCTTTTGATGATCTATTCTTAGTGGCGACCAATCACTTTGCCTGACAACTATATCGAGCAAGCATCACCAAAAGAGCAGCTTGCTGTTGCAGGACTGACTGGAAATCACATAGCTGCAACTGCACTGAGTCTGCTTGGCCGTACTCGAGAAGCTCTTCTTTTGATGTGCTAAATTCTATTTAATTGTTCTTGTAAAGTGTAAATATCTTAGGCCCTCCTATACATACTTATGAAGTGTAGAAGTGGAAAATACACAAGGTAGGAGAAGAGGAGGGAAAGAAGAAAATAAACAGGATGAGGAAGTTTGTGATAGGAAAGAAGCAGTCCATATTTCTGAGAGTAGGTGCAACAATGTACCTCATTTCTTGAGTGACAATGGCCCATTGGCTTGGCAACTTCTAACATTCGCATCTGAAAAGTGTGGTCTTGTGAAGGCCAAACATCAAAGCGTTTTCGCCTGATGTTAAGTATGGCTTGCCATGGCAAAAGTTTAGACATTTTTTACTTGAGTATTGAGGTGCGTGGTTAAAGTTTGTGTCATGCATGTCTAAATCTTTTTTTGTCCCTAATTATTTTTGAAGGGTTATGTTTTTTTGAAAGGTGCATAAGAAGTTAAAATTAGCAGTATTTTCAGTTTCAATGAATTTGCATGACTCCAGCCCAGATTCATAATGTGTTGACTGACCTACATGTAAAAACACACAACATGTGATAATTAGAACCACAAAGCTTTTCATATATACATAACTGACCTACATGTAAAAATGGCCTCAACTTTTAGATATGTGTGTTTGAAACTTTGACAAAACATAAGAATTTTGTATCTCATATTTTAACATCCAAATAAGCTCGAATTTGAAACATAACTTTCATATATCATAAAGATCATACCTCAATCATCAATTTGTCAACATAACAATAAATCTAACAAATTCATTTAATTTAACTTAATACATGTTAAAACTGATTAAAATTTTAGTCATATGTGTCTAAATGCAGAAGGAGAAAAAGGCAAAAAGAAGTATGTGAATTTGCTTGAAAGTTACCTAATATATTGAATATTGGTATAAAAAAAAAGTGTAGGATAGATATTACTTAAATGGGGAGACCAAAATAGGAGGAGTTCTACTTTTGATTTTTAATCTTTTTTTAAAAACTTTATCAAACACTCTCAAAACTCAAAAGCTAAAAATGACTTACAAGTATGTTTGACCAACTTTTAAGTCAATCCAAATAAGCTCTTAAACTTGTATAAAGTTAAACAAGTAGACACATAAATCATATATGACATAATAAATGTAGGACACGAAATTCTATAAGTTTCCATTTTTCATATTTTCACTGTTAAGTTATAGAAATAATAAAACAATTACCCCAAAAGTACTGTACTTCCGATATATAGTCGAAAAGTACACTATCTTCTTTTTCTTTTTTCCCACTTAATGTTTGATATCCACGTTAAAGTCAGACTAAATTTGAATACATTCCGAAAAATTTCATATTGAAAGATTTTGTAAATATATTGAAAAATATTTTAAGAATACACTATCATCCAAATATAAATGCATATTACTACAATATATTATATAAGGGCGGATCGTAGGTTTTCGGAATCCTCACATACTTGGGTAAAGAGAAATTTCATTTTGATTAGTAATATATTTGAAAAATATTTTTAAGTGTAACAATTTTTTTAAAATTCTAGTCGCTTTTTTATTCCAAAAAGTAAAAAGCAGAACGCATGCAGTGCTTCACGTTAGTTTCTCCTTTCTTGAAATAATAATAATTACAAAGTCTACTAAAAAGAAATCAACCAATAAAATATTTTTTTTACCCAAATTTCAAATCAAATTTGAAACCAAAAAAGTGAGAAAAAAAGAAACACTCAGGTCAGGGTTAAAAAATTGCTTTTGATTCTCCCATATTCTCTTTTCGTTTGTTTTTTTTCATGTTTTTGTGTTTATTTTCTGTTCTGAAATTCCATTTAATTGAAAGAGGTGTAAGTAGTGCATGACACAGTCATTGCCACTTTACTCTATTATTTTTAACTAGTGGAGAGCATAAAATTGAAAAAGTAATAATGTGATCTTAATAATATAAAGCTCGTTTAGTTGGGAATAAATTATATCAGTATTAACTATTTTAGGTTGTTTTTCTATCTTTAATGTATGTGAAATAAAAATAATATTACAATATCAGGATAACTAGTTTTGAGATAAGTTATTTTGCAATTTTATTCCAATCAAATATGGGATAGACTCATCCTAGAACTAATTCCAAAATTAATTATTCCTTATCCCTCATACCAAACGAGCAATACATCATTAAGTGATTCTGCGAGTATTATTTTATGCATAATTAAACATATTACACACACAAAAAGGGAAGTTAATTCTTTCTTTGTTCAATGATTTTGATAGTAATGAGAATGAAAATGAAAATTCATCTTGTGGTTCAAATTGATATATGTTGGTCTAATTCTTTGATTTGCAATATTCTATTTTAGAAGTTAATTTTTTGGGTTTTAGTTATTCATTTTAAATTAAACTTCTGTATTTAAATTAGTTGAAATTATAAAGTGAGAGTCTATATAACCACAAAATCTAAGCCTCAAATCATTTGGTTTTCTCTTCACTAAGTTCTCTTTTATATTTAGTTATTCAAGATGATCGATGTCACTTCTTCTCGACCATCAAATAACGATAAAATATTGAATTTGGATTCTCTTGAATCCGATCGTGCTAAAAGAAAACAAATTTCAGAACCTCGCGTCCTAATCTATTGAAAATCAACAAATTAACTTAAAATTCTGAATCCGCTTAAATAAAACAAAAGGACAAGAATATCCTTAGTTAATTCAGATAAATTTGCTGGACCACTTTATTCAATATTCAGTCCATTTTGTATATTTATGTGACTAATTACGTCCTTGATCACTCAGTGTCACATGCATAAAAAGCAATGAATAGGTAATCGATTATTGTAATTAATCCCATGTAATTAATGGTATGTTTTTTGTTACATAATAAAGTCATTAAACTAACCTACCACATGAAGAGTTGGAAACAACAAATCACATGCAATAACCATATACTTTGCTTCCTTTTTCACATCACTAATCAAATCATGACGTTCATGCATGAAGAAGCAAAGATTTGGGTAAATCTTCTTTTCACCTTTTTAAGAAGATTATTAGTACTTTCTTGATCGAGATTTAAATTTTATGAGTTTTTATAAATTAATATACATTAATAATTATGTTTATAGTTAAATATCTTTATAAATATTTAGTAGATTTTTTATTTATTGTTATATATACAGATTTGGATAAAAGTTATCAGGTTTTCATACTCGTTACCATTTATGTGAATGTGTTTTACTAAGCATAGAATTTAAGGACAAAAAAATATACTTCTAAAATTTATCGTCTAAAATAAATTATAAATCTTGATGTCGCTACATAAAGTATTTTAATTGTGATAAAAATAAGAAATCATACATTTTAAAAAAACTTTATTTTTTCTGTAAATTTTATATCAAGTTAAATAACATCACATCAATTATTACCGTGCGAAAGAGTATACCATAACCGAAATGGTGTCTCTCTTTGCTTGCGTGTGTATAATCCTATATAAGTCTTTAAAGCACATTGGGCAACATGCACTATGCATGTTCATGTAAATTAAATATAAGCCTAAGTCATCCACGGCCATTCAAAGTTGTCCGCATATTTCAGTTAGACATCTCAATTAAGGCTTGTACCTATTGAACACCTTATTTGTTCAAAAGTCATTCCTATTAAACACAAAATGCTAATATGGCTAAAAAAGTGTGTTCCATCCTCCTTAAGCGCGTTAAACAATTGATTTTTTATTTATTATTTATTTTCCAACTTATACTGCTAATATTTTTTAAAATTAATTAACAAAAAAAAATGAAAAAAGAAGAAGAAAAGTCGTCTTCTTCCCCACACCCCTCTTTTCATCATTTCCTTCACCCACACCCCTTCCACCTCTCTTTCTTTCTCTCACTCTCTCCAACTCTTTTTGATTTTTTCCTTCTTTCATTTTTTAGTTATTACATAGATCTAAGTTTCATATTTTCCGGCATAACTCCATTTTCCTAATGAAGATAACATTTTTTTTCCAGCAAAAGTTAATTATTTTTCATATAATTGTAATAAATGATTAGTAATGGAAAGAAAATGAATGGAATGAGTGAAAACTTTTGATGCTATTCGGTTGAAAGGGGAATTAATTTTTATCTTGGGTGTGCAACCATGTCATACTACTTGGGGTGAAGAGGCAAGGCTTACTCATTGTGATCGCACGATACCGCCGGGGAAAGTGATAAGTACATGATTTGACGAAGAGGACCGGTGGCGTAGGTGTGTAGGTGGCCTTTTTTAGAAAAATCGTTTTTGTTTTTTAGTTAGTTTTTTTTTAAAATAATTAAAATAGACTAAAAGAGTTATTTTTTAGAATTTCATTTTTAAAATACATTTTTAGATATGAATTACACATGTCATCATTTAATTCATCAATTTGTCATGTCACTGCCATGTCACAACAAGTGTATTACACACATCTCACATTTTGGGCTGATTGTCAAAAAAATGTCAAATAGGTATCAATTTTAAGGGGTATAGGTGTTCAATAGGTACAAGCTTTAGTTGAGGTGTTTAAACGAATTATGCAGACAACTTTAAGGGGCCGTGGATGACTTAACCCTTAAATATATTTCCAAACTCGTGAGATATTTCTCTCTCGGTTAAATAATAGTTGTTCATTATTAACTTTGCATACTTCTTAAGAAAGTATAACTGGAAAAGTAATTTTACTGTATCACTCTTTGAATATAATAAATACAATGTCTTGAAAAATGTAATAGAAAAATTGTTATAATTAATGACAAGGATAAACTAGAAACTAAGTGTCACGACCCAGACCATTGTGACCCACACTAACCCTCCGGTGGAAAAACCACTACTACAACCCAAACCAAACAACTAAACCAAAAACTAAAGCATTTAAGTTACGGAAGCAAGTTAAATAGCTAAAAACTGAAGTTCCCATAAACTTCCAAAAGATATAACAACTAAACAAATGCGGAAATACTACAGTAAATGTGCCAAAACATCTAACAATGAACAAAAGTCTACACAAGGGTCACGACCCCAAACTAACGAATTAATAACTAACTAGAAAGTCTAAGTCCGAAATATGGACATAGACGAAAGGAGAACTCATGGCAGCCTGAAAG